CCACTTCCATTCTTACCCAAACAAAACTACAAAAATGCAACTACAGGGGAGCCTGGGTGGCTCAGTCGTTAAGCGTCTGCCTTCAGCTCAGGTCATGATCCCAGGGTCCTGGGATCGAGCCCCGCATCGGGCTCCCTGCTCTGCAGGAAGCCTGCTTCTCCCTCGCCCACTCCCCCTGCATGTGTTCCCTCTCAAGGAACAAGCAAAGGAATCAATTTCCAGTCTTTCATAAACCCGATCAGCCCACATAATTGGATTATCAATAAAACATCTTCAACCATAAAATGTATTATTTTAGGACATGAGTCTGAAAACTACAGCCCCTGGGCCAAATAGGGCTCACTACCAATCAAGGTTTAGAAGAACACAACCACATTGGAAGTGCCTCAGTGGCTCAGTCGGTTGAGCCTTAGAAGCCTGATTTTGGCTGGCGTTGTGAGATACAGCCCCGAGCTCAGCATGGAGTCCACTTGAGATTCTCTTTCCCTCTCCCATTCCTGCATTCTGACACTCTCTAAAATAAATAAATCTTAAAAAAAAAAAAAGGAGGGGCACCTGGGTGGCTCAGTTGGTTAAGCGACTGCCTTCGGTTCAGGTCATGATCCTGGAGTCCCGGGATTGAGTCCCACATCGGGCTCCCTGCTCAGCAAGGAGTCTGCTTCTCCCTCTGACCCTCCCCCTCTCATGCTCTCTCTCTCTCTCATTCTCGCTCTCTCAAATAAATAAATAAATTTTTAAAATAAATAAATAAATAAATAAAATCTTTATAAATAAATAAATAAATAAGGAAAAATACGAAATAGACAAATCTCCAGAATAATGCAAATTACCAAAAGTGACTCAAGAACAGAAAGTCTGTATAGACCTATACCAAGTAAAGAAACTGAATTAGCGGGGTGCCTTGCTGGCTCAGTGGGTAGAGCATGTGACTCTAGATCTTGAGGTCCCCATGTTGGTGTAGAGATTATAAATAAACTTTAAAAAGAAAAGGGGGGGGTGCCTGGGTGGCTCAGTCGGTTAAGCATCTGCCTTCGGCTCAGGTCATGATCCCAGGCACCTGGGATCCAGCCCCGAATCTGGTTCCCTGCTCAGCGGAGAGCCTGCTTTTCCCTCTCCCTCTCCCTCTCCCTCTGCTGCTCCCCCTGCTTGTGCTCTAAATAAATAAATAAATAAAATCTTAAAAAAAAAAAAAAGTGGGGCACCTGGGTGGCTCAGTCATTTAAGCCTCTGGCTCTTGATTTCAGCTCAAGTCATGATCTCAGGGTCATGGGATGGGGCCCCTTCCAGCTCTGCGCTCAGGAGCCTGCTTGAGATTCTCTCTGCCCTCCCCCTATGCACGTACTTTCTCTCTCTCAAATAAATTAAAAAAAAAAAAAAATTGGGGTGCCTGAATGGCTCAGTTGGTTGAGCATCTGCCTTCAGCTCAGGTGGTGATCCTGGGGTCCTGGGATTGAGCCCCACACCGGGCTCCCTGCTCAGCGGGGAACCTGCTTCTCCCCCTGCTCGTACTTTCTCTCTCTCAAATAAATAAATAAAATCTTAAAAAAAAAAAAAAAGTGGGGTGCCCAGGTGGCTCAGTCGTTAAGCGTCTGCCTTCGGCTCGGGTCATGATCCCAGGGTCTTGGGATCGGGCCGCCATCGGTCTCCCTGCTCAGTGGGAAGCCTGCTTCTCCCTCTCCCACTCCCCCTACTTGTGTTCCCTCTCTCGCTGTGTCTCTGTCAAATAAATAAAATCTTAAAAAAAAACTGAATTAGTAATTAAAAATCTTCCCATAAAGAAAAGCCCAGGCCCAGAAGACTTCACTGGTAAATTCTATCGAATATATAGAAAAATAAAAAATGCTACACAAACTCTTTCAGAAAACAAAAGAGAAACATTTCCAAATTCATTTTATGAAGGTACTATCACTCTGATACTAAAGCCGAAGACGTCACAAGAAAACTTCAGTATCCCTCAGGAACACAGACATGAGAATCCTAAACAAAATATTAGCAAACTAAATTCAGCAACATATAAAAAACATATACACCATGACTAAGTGGGGTTCAATCCAGGAACACAAGATTGGTTTAACATCCAAAATTCAAGCAATGTAATACACCATTTACACATATCTTATACATATCTTAGAGGGTTTTTTTTTTTAAATATAGAAAAGGTTATTTGTACATTTTAAAAACATCAAGGGGCACCTGGCTGACTCAGTCAGTAGAGCATGTGGCTCTGGATCTTGGGGTTGTGAGTTCAAGCCCCACATTGGGTATGGAGCTACTTAAAAAGTAAAATTAAATAAAAACAGTGAATTGTGTATTTAGATAACTTTGTATTTATTATTTATTTTTATTTTAACATTTTATTTTTTTTTATTTGACAGAGATAGAAGAGCACACAAGCACAAGCAGGGGGAGAAGTAAGAGGAAGAGGGAGAAGCAGGCTTCCCACCAAGCAGGGAGCCCGACACGGGGCTCGATCCCAGGACCCTGGGATCATGACTTGAGACGAAGGCAGACACTTAACCAACTGAGCCACACAGGCATCCTTTGTATTCATTTTTTTTAAAGTCAATATTTACACGTCAAAAATTACATCCTAAACTATTTAAACTACTCAAATTTATGATGAAAAAATTTCAAATGCCAACTTAATGTGTAAGAGATACATAGATTTTCTAATGTTCTAAACACTAAAAAATGTTTTAAGACCTGAGTAACAAGGGAAAAAGAATCATTCATGCCAAAGCAACTCCACCGTATCTTCAGACAGCCAATAAAAAATTATTTTTGAAAATTTGACAAATTCCAACTCCTTTTAACTTCTACCCCCAAATTAATTTACTCTTGTAGCATACCCAGACATAAACCTAATACTCCAGGATGGAACCAACCAGGGCTGGGGTCAACCTTCCTTTCTTCTTCTAGATTCTATATTCTCCTAATCTAATCTACTACCACAGGTCACCTCAGTTCTAACCACATCACTGATTCAGATGAATGAGACTCCACTTGAACCCCTTCTAAGTCACATCTCTACCTTCATCAACTAGTATAATTGCACTTTTTGGACCCAACTGAAATTTCTCACATGTATACGACCCTTCCATTTCATTAAACTGCATTGGACAAATCTTGCAATTAACCAGATGATATTTTCTCTCTTCACTTCATAAAGGTAACAAATCTGATAAGCACACCTTCTAGATAAGGCTTTAAAATACACACTGTATATAAAGAAAGTGATACAGCTTCAACCCACCAGAATCCCAACTCTAAGCTGTATCCATAAATCAAACCCCTCCAGACCCTGATGTTCAAAACCAGGATTCCATCTAATTTTACCACAATCTGGCAAATTCCCCTATCTCACCCACCAGGTCATCATAAAAGACTTAACAAATGTCTTGCTAAAATTCTGACACACTATCACTATATTCCTTTGACAATGTGAATGTCCTGTCCTGTTGTTCTCGCATTGTTTATAACTCTAGCACCCCTGCTCCTTTGGCTATTAAGGATAGAAAAAGGACACATTTTTCACTTTACGTTAGTTACAGCATCTCAGGAATTACAAATTATCTTAAACATTTTCTAGCCCATTGTTTTTCAGCAAAGTTTGTTTTGTTTTTAAAGATTTTATTTATTTATTTGACAGAGACAGACACAGTGAGAGAGGGAACACAAGCAGTGGGAGTGAGAGAGGGAGAAGCAGGTTTCCTGCGGAGCATGGAGCCCAATGTGGGGCTCGATCCCAGGACCCTGGGATCATGACCTGAGCCGAAGGCAGACGCTTCACGACTGAGCCACCCAGGCGCCCCTAGCCCATTGTTTTTCAAACTACAGGTCTTTAGCGGTCATATTAGCCGTCAATTTAGTGAGCTGCAATCAACTTTTTTTCTTTTAATGAAACAGAAAATGTCAAAGGGCATCATATGCAGAAAGGGTAAACTTTTGGGCTGTATGTGTGTACTCTGTGCATGCTGGGAGCACATTAAGTCATAATGTAAATGTATCTACCTGTGGGTCTCAGGTCAAACAAAGTTTAAAACACACTTTGCTAGTCCCACAGCCCCGCCCCCACAAGGAAGCTCCACCAAAAAAATTCTTAGTAATCAAAAGTTATTTGTAGCCATCTTCATTTCATACAGAGAAACCAACAGAAATTTTGAACTCGGTACACCTAATCTGCCAATCATTTAAAAAAGGCCTAGAATCCATCTGAGGTTTCCAGTTGAAATACTAACCTGCTCAGAGACAGTCATTTATGTTCTGATGGTAGTAAAACCTGTATTTGACAGTTGACTGAAATCAGTTTAGTCTGTGGCTAGGGAAGAGAACAAAAACCATTCTGATTCCTCATCCGTAACCACAGGAGAGAACTGTTAGGACTCCTCCTAGCTCTGGAATTGGGAGATTCCCTGAAAACCAATGAGCGAGGACACGCCAAAACACTTGAACCACTCAACAAGCCAACTACTGATAAATTCAATTCATAAATTCAATCATACAAAGAGCACTTAAAGCAGCTCAGACTTACACCTACAGCTGGAAAGAATCAAGAAGCTGCGCCCTGGCAGGTATCATTATTTCTCAACCAACCTTCCCTCTCAGACCCCAGTTCACGTCTATCCGCAGGCTACATCGGTCACAGATGTGGCACCCGAGCTGTTCCATGCCACCCTACTCCATTGTGCGAAAGGACACTGAGGCAAAGAGCAAAGAGCGGGCGAGCTGCAGCGGCCATCAACGAGGCGAAACCAAGAGCCTAGGCCGCTCATGCCTCACACCTCACACGATTCCCAGGCTATTTAGAATCCTGCTGCCTTCAGTCTTCCACCTCAAACCATACCCCCTGAGGAAACCCCTAGGGCCTGGCCCCCAGCTCGCGCCCGCCTCGATAAAAGTCTACAAGGCCTGGAACCCAAAGCCTAAAAGCAAATGCGCCTGGCAACCCCGGAAGCCCCCTCCCGCCAGCGCCCACAGCCCAACGGCCCCCTCGTTCCCACCTCCACGCCGTCTGGCCGCCGCCTCCTCCGCACACCTCGCCACGTCGACCCCGCAACAGGAGAAGACCCGGAGGCTGAGGGGCTTCTCCACACCCACCCCCACAGCCGCGGCCGGAAGCGCCCCGCGACTCCACGCCACCGTCGTGAGGTCACTTCCGGCGCGACGCCTTGGAAACCAGACGGCAGGCTGTTGGCAAGCAGAGCGCCCGGGAAATTTGAGAGCTTGCGAGAGCGCGGCGAGGGCAGGCGCTCAGCCTTCCTGAACCCAGCCTGGGCGCCCATTTTGTGAGCCCCGCCTACTTTTGTTGGGTAGAGGCCTGGTTGGAGTAGGGGCCCTGCTCTACTCTCCCGCCCAGACACCTGGGGGACTCCACTCTCCCGCGCAGTCCTGATGAAATGTCCCCGCTTTCCCTCCAGACCCCTTGGGCTTATCGCTGATGAAGACCGGAGGACTTTGGAGAGTGCCTGGTGACGTGGACCCCATCCTCGATTAGTTGCAGCTGTGGGACGCAATAAGTAGGCCCCCCTCGAGGGATTAAATTCCCTTCGTGGTTAATCTTCAGAGTGTATCAGCTTCCTCTCGTTTTGGATTTAGCGCTAAGCCATTCTGTATTTGCATTCGGCCTCCGCCCCCCATACACACACACACCCCACTACTTGGTACAAGGGAAAGTGCCACTCTCCTTGGGGCATTTTAGAGCCTCCTGATGGTTTTGGAATATAGGTAAGGTTCGGTGGGCTGGAGTCCGGAGCCCACGACCAAGACAGAATTCTTGAGAGTCTGGTGCAAAATGGTGGTTCAGCACCCGAGGGCAGAAAGAACTGCTGTCCCAGGGTTGTGAGGGGTGGCTGATTTTATACCTGGGAGTTAGGGGAAGTAAGGAAAAGGGAAGATTTCAAAAGAACTTTCATATGCTAAACAGGACCTACAATATACCAGAGGCCTTGCCATTGTCAAATTAAGGGTTGTTTTTTATTTCCTTCTAGCAAGGCATTAACATTAAGATAGTTGGGAGCTTCCTGGAGGAACTTTACACTCTGTCTGCTTCAAGTATCTTGTCAATGGGCTGCAGGTTCTAAAGACATTTAATTCTATCTACATTTCTTTCTGGAAGCTAGGTTATTGATAGAACTGCTTTGTTCTTGTATATTGCTAAGACATTTCTAAACTGAGGGAGACTCCTGTCTTGCAGGATTGTGATCTCTACAATATTTGTTTTTCTTTAGCTATAGGGCAGCCAGGAGTGTCTGAGGAATGTCATATATATCCCATGTGGGGGGCTGGGGGGTGGTCAGCTTCTGCTTTGTCCTCAGCTTGCCTTCTGTTCCCTCATCACAATTCTTTAAATAAACTGTCTCCAGGGTTTATATGGGGTGGGTTGCTAGTGACTGTAAGATCAAGTTTAAGGAGGATATGGTTTGCATATTCATTTAGAGATTTATGAGTTAATCCGCCCTCAAGTGAATAATTTAACAGAGCATTATATTCTCCATCTTTTGATAGGTCTACAGTGAGAAAAGGTTTTCCATATACTAACTCAAAAGGACTTAATCCTACTGGTTGTTTTGGGGCAATCCCCATTCCAGTTTTCCTGAGTCTCAATGTTTAAGATTGAGTATCTACAAAGATGTGTTATTGAAACATTTTTTTTAATCAGAGATAGCCAAATCAGGACTAATTCATTGTGAAATAAGTCCAATTTTAACAGATTTGGCCTAATGATTTATATAAGCTCAGCAAGAAGTGATTGATCATATAGATGTTTTAAAATCTGCTTTGCCAGGAGACTGGGTGGCTCAGTCGGTTAAGCGTCTGCCTTCAGCTCTGGTCATGATCCCAGGAGCCCCCACATCGGGCTCCCTGCTTAACGGGGAGGCCGCTTCCCCCTCTCCCTCTGCCCCCCACTCATGCTTGCTCGCTCTCTCTCGCACTCTTTCAAATAAATAAAATCTTTAAAATAAATAAATAAAATAAAATCTTCTTTCCTGGAACTTTTTATAAGGAATCTCTAAGTTGAACTTTTAGTAGCTTCTCTGGGCCGGAAACCAAGCCAAGTGCTTGCTAGGCATACCTGTATATCTAGACAAATTCCTCTTCTCAGGGTCCCCAGTATATCCTGAGGGTCCTGCACCTTCCACGAAGTAACATTCTCTATTCGCCTGGTAGGGCTGCTGGAAACTCTGTAAGCAAGGTATCAGGCCAACATTTACAAGGGACTCTATTGGCTCCATGCTTCATAAAGTCAACCTTAGTTCCTTAAAGCTGTATGGTCATGGGCGCATGGGTGGCTCAGATGGTTAAGCGTCTTCCTTCGGCTCAGGTCATGATCTCAGGGTCCTGGGATCGAGTCCCACATCGGGCTCCCGGCTCAGCGGGGAGCCCGCTTCTCCCTCTGACCCTCTCCCCTCTCGTGCTGTTTCTCTCTTGCTCGCTCTCTAAAAAATACATAAAATCTTAAAAAAAAAAAAAAAAACTGTATGGTCATATATGAGTCTATGCAAGTCTCTCAAATATGATATTCCTGTCAAAGTCTTGGTAGAATAACCAATGTTTCCCATGGTGTCCTCTTACAAAGAGAACAGATTTTTTTTTTTTAAGATTTTTATTTATTTGAAAAAGTGAGAGAGAGAGATCACAAACAGGGGTGGGGGTGGAGGGAGAAGCAGACTCCCCCTGAGCAGGGAGCCAGACGCGGGACTCGATCCCAGGGATCATGACCTGAGCCGAAGACAGGCTTAACCCACTGAGCCACCTAGGTGCCCAAGAAGAACAGATTCTTAATGAACTTATGCAAATGACTGTACTTGATGAAAGAAGGAATACTTATGGAGATCCTTTGAATTTCAGAGGGTTCAGATAGAAAAGTTAAAGGCTTTAATTTATTTTATTATTATTTCTGTATATCATTGATGTCTTAAGAGAAAGTTTCCTTAGTCTGGAAGAATATATATTAGAGAACCAATGTTTTAAACCAGAGTCAAACTATAATCATCCTCAGCTTAGTTGGTTCTGGAAATTCTTACCCATTTCAATTTTATGATCTTAAAGATAATAAAAACCTGTATTTGGGGGCGCCTGGGTGGCTCAGTTGGGTAAGCGACTGCCTTCGGCTCAGGTCATAATCCTGGAATCCCTGGATCGAGTCCTGCATCGGGCTCCCTGCTCGGCAGGGAGTCTGCTTCTCCTTCTGACCCTCCCAACCCTCCCCCATCTCATGCTCTCTCTCTCTCAAATAAATAAATAAAATCTTTAAAAAAAAAAAAAACCCTGTATTTGTCAAAAGCCCTTTTTATGAATCCCCTTGAGATGAAACACGTTTTGCAAGAGAATAAGAACAACAACTATTCATGACAAAAGATTCAAAAATGGACAGGGTTAAAGATTTGATGAGAGGTAACAATACAACATAGCTGGCAAGGAAATCTGGTTATTTCTGTGACACACAACACTTAAGTAATCAGAATATTAAGTAATGGCCTTATACCAGAACACATTAAAACTTTAGGAACTGCATATCATCTCTAGAATAATTACAGCTTTTACCCAAGCAATACAACTTAAGGCTTATTATTTAACAATGCTTCCCTTATTTCCATCAGTCTTAATTACATTTAGCAGAATTTTAGCTCTTAGAGACCTTAGTCTCCTGTGAAAACTAAGTAGTAACCAATTGTGAACTGTCACACCAGAATTCTTTAGATGGCAATTTTATGAATCTATTAAGCACAAAGCAGATTTACCAACAGACTTAAATATCCTTAGTTTATTTGCAATAAGAAGTCAAAAGCTGGGGTGCCTGGGTGGCTCAGTCGTTAAGCGTCTGATTAGGCTCAGGTCATGATCCCAGGGTCCTGGGATCGAGCCCCGTATCGGGCGCTCCCTGCTCAGCAAGGAAGCCTGCTTCTCCCTCTCCCACTCCCCCTGCTTGTGTTCCCTCTCTTGCTGTGTCTCTCTCTGTCAAATAAATAAATAAAATCTTAAAAAA